TCACTGTCTAGGAGAACTAGAAGAGCACTGGATACAGAAATGTGTTTTGCTTGGCCATGCATATTTATTATGAGGTGGAGGGTAAGAGAGAGAGGAAATAGATTTTTGTTAATTGAAAAAAATTTAAAAGAAAAAAAGGCATTAGAGAAGGGAGCCATGGGCTAAGGTGTGTGTTCCTTTGAGGAGTTTAGAGGAGTCTCGGGGCCCCAAAAGAAATTTGGGAGGCATCCCTAAGCCCGGCCTTTGCCCTTGTAGATGTGGCTGATCTTCGAATGGAGCTAACTCACAATTCAGAGACACTTGTGTTGTGGCAAAGCTTAGGGCGATTGGGAGGAAGTGGCTGGCAAGAGCTGGTGGTGGCCACAGGCCGTGTTCAGGGAGATTTCTGGGTAAGTTGCAGCCCAGAGAGAAGGGCTTTAATACAGGGAGGGAGTCTGGGGGGGTGACCTTGTAGAGGAATCACACATAGGCCTGGCCAGAAAACAGGAACTGACCTTCTCCCTTGCCCTGTCTCCCTAGGTCACCATCTCTGCTACACGTAATGCAACGCATAGGGGAGCTGTGGCCCTGGATGATGTGGAATTCTGGAACTGCGGTCTCCCTTGTAAAATCCTCTGTTCCTCCCTCCTGCTCCCTAAGGCCTTATCCCAGGGCTCTAGGTCATCAATATCCTTTCTATCCCTAGACCAGCAGCCTCCCCCCAGAAAGGGGCACATACACTACAAGGGGAGGGATCTCAGGCCTGCCCACCTTCCCACAATGCAGCATTAAAGCATACTTAGAGTCCATGGGGATTCCTGGGCAACCTTCACTCTCTTAAGTGATTTTTCCTAGTCCAAGTCCCTCCTTGCCTCTGGGTCTGGGACCACTGAACTAACCCTTCCTTCCTCGGCTCAGCCCCTCGGAACAGCTGTACCATATACCAACACCACTGTAACAACTATGCCTGTGTGGCATTGACTGAGCTGTGTGACAGGGAAGACAACTGTGGGGATGCCTCTGATGAGGACCAAAAGTCCTGCAGTAAGAGTGACAATAGGAAGGGGACGGTACGGCCTGGTGGGGGAAGGACAACGGATGAGAGGAAAGGGATGGTCCCTGAGCCCTTCCTTCCTGTCTGCAGTTGGCCATAAAGTGACAGACTTTGAAAATGGTCTGGGTGAGTGGACAAACACTACAGGATGGGTGATAACCCAAGGTTCTGAAGCCTCCGTAGCCTCAGCTGTGCCAGTCCGGGACCACAGCAAGAACAGTGCATCAGGTAAGATGGCAGCAGAGGTGGATGGAGGTAGCCTGAGCCCACACTCCAGGGGCTGCCTCCAGGAAAAGGAGCCCCAACCTCCAGCACACCCCTCCATCCTTCCTAGTCCTCCCAGATCTCCTCTTGCCTCCTGAAACCTCATCTGCCTTCTAACTCCCTCTCCACCCTTTCACACCCCTGCTCCAGGCTCTTTCCTGCTCTCCAAGGCTGATCAAGGAACTTCTGATATCCTGATTAGCCCAGAGTTCCATCCTTCAAGTACCAACAGCTGTTTGGTAAGTCAGCCAGGGCCAAGGAGGCAGCACCCACATGAGGGGGATACTGTGGGAGAAGGTGATGAGGCATGAAGGTGAAGGGAGATGAGGATGGCTTTTATCCAGTCGCAGTGCTAGAGACCCCAAGTCCACCTGGAACCTTCATCAAGGTCAGGCAGGAGAAGGCAGACATCCTTCTGACTTCCATTTTCACTCTCCTCCCCCACCCCAGTTCACATTCTATTACTACCTGCATGGCTCTGAGGCTGGAAGCCTGCAGCTGTTCCTGCAGAGCCAGAACCCTGACTTACCCCAGACAGACCCCATACGGACTCGCCAAGGGGAACTGGGGGCTGCCTGGGTCCGGGACAAGGTCACCATCTACAGCAGGCATCGCTTCCGGGTAAATGGGGTCATGGCCTCGGGTGTTGTGTAGAAAACAGGTTTAAGGGCATGAAGAATTCTAGTCTTGGAGATAGCATCAAATGTCTGATTCAACAATGACTTCAATCCAATCACCTTTTTCAAACTTTTGTTAAGACCAGATTTCTGAAGCACCAACACATCACACCTCAGATCTCTGTGTCCGAGAGGGGAAACCTGGTGTTCCCTGGAGCAGGTCAGGTTTGGGACATGCAGTTCAGGGAACATGGCCAGATAGTCCTCTAAAGACTGGACATATAAGTAGCCCCCACTCTCAGAAGATTTCTACTTTTAGATCTATCCTTAGACCCTCAGAACAAATTTCTCTCCTGAGCTCCTCACCTCATCAAGGTATCTGTCTACTAGACATTTTCAGCTGGATATCCCCTAGGCATCTTGAGCTCAACATCTTCAACATTCATCTCTCTCCTTAATCTCCCTGCTTTTGTCAAGGACACCACCATCATTCTTAGCCCCCAAGTTCCAATCCTCCCGCACATCATCCTCCATTCTTCACTCTCCCTCACTGTGTCCCACCGCCTCCCATATCTAATCAATTGCCTAGTCTTGTCAATAGCACCTCCACCATATCTCCTGTATCCTTTCCCTTCTTTCTACTCTCATGACCGCCTCCCTAGCCTAGGCCCCCATAATCTCTTGACTGTACATTAGCCTCCTAATCAGTGTCCCTGGCTTGCCTCTCCTTGTGCCAATCCATTCTCCACAAGGTCTGAGTATGTGAATCCCCTACTCAAAAAAACTCCAATTGCTCCCTATTGTCTCTAGGCTATGGTGGAGGCTCCTTTGGTTGACTGTTAAAACCCTTCACAATCTGACTTCAGCTCACCTACCCAGACTGATTACACTTTACATCAAGCATTCCATGGTCCTGCCAAACTGACCTGCTTGCTATACCTTACACATAGCTTCTGTCCTCCCACCTCCATCCCTTTGCAACGTCTAGCCCCCATGCCTGCAATACAATCTTTCTTCTCACTTCTGCTTCTTAGAGTCTCTGATTTCGTTCAAGTTCAGCTCAAAGGTCACCTGCTCCATGAGGTGTTTCTTGATCCTCTGGGCTTCTAGGTGTCCCTTCCTTGCCCCTGGACCCACTATGACTTTGTACTTACCTTGGACATATTTGGACTTATATTTTGTTTCCCTTGGTAGAAAGTAAGCTCCTTTAGGGCAGGACTTTAATTTTTGTCTTTGTATTTCCAGCACCTAGCACAGTTCCTGACATATAGAAAATAACTTATAAATGCTTATTGATTGATTGAGAGTTAAAAAAGAGTTAGTCTTTGTTAGGAACAAAAGAATTGGTGCTCTGTGGGAGGGATGTCCACTGGAGTTGGGAGCTGAGCTCCCCATTGCCCCCCAACAGATCCTCCTGAAGGGAAAAACTGGGCCTGGAGGGGTCGTGGGCCTTGATGATCTGATCCTAAGCCAACATTGTGAACAAGTGACCAGTGAGTGACACTCCCACCCTCATGCCTTCTGCAATCATTCTGCATCTGCCCTGAGCTCCCTCCCTCTCCTTCCCTTCCCTACCCCAGAGAGACCAGCTCCAGAAACTCCAGAGGGCTGGGGCCCCAAGGGCTGTCACTGTGCCCCACTCTACTTTAGTTGGGTCCACCACAGATAACCCATTTTATTCTCAGAGTCTGAAGACACATCCCCCTCAAAGGCCTCTCCTCCTGGATCCTTGGCTGGTGTGCCCCAGCACCTCCAGCAGCTCACTAAAATTGACTCAAGGACTCAGACTGACAATTTCTGCGAGTCTGGTCATTTCTCCTGTGGGGAATTCTGTCTCCCTCCAGAGCAGCTATGTGACTTTGTGCCCCAGTGTGCAGAGGGTTTGGATGAACAGAACTGTGGTAAAGAGGATTTCCTGAGCAAGGGAAGGACCTGCTGGTCCCTTCTCCAGTCCCAGACTCTCTTTTTCCTGGGGTTTCTGCTTTGTACTAACCTAAATGAGAGAGAGAAGGGTGGTCACCGAGGGCCTGATTGGGTGGAGAAGGGAAGTGTGTGTGAGGTGGTGAGGGGAGTGAGATTCTCTGAGCGAGATTAGGAACAATCTAAAAGGGGCAGTCAGCGGGGCTGCAGTCTGAGTTGGTTGCTTGGTTCCAGGTGAAACAAACTTTGAGTCAGGCTCTGGGGGCTGGGAGGATACCAGCACGGGCCACCTACAGTGGCAGAGGATCAGTGCTCAGGACAACTCTGACCCCAGGACCGATGCCGAAGGGAATGAAACTGGTGAGGTTCCCTCCCTGCCCTCCCCCAGGAATGGCATCCCTTATGTTGATCTATTCTTGAGCACTTACTGATGTCTTAGATACCTCCCCCACACTGGGTTTCAGTCAACCCCCATGCTCTTAGGGCTCTCCCTGCCTCTCCTAACCCTCTTCTAATGCAGAGAGCTCAGAGTAGGGGATAGAGTCCATGAGCTGGGGTTCTATGAGTTAAGAGGAAGTATTTCTGAACTGGTGGGTCCCTACATTAAAAGGGGATTTTTTTCTTTCCTCAGGACCCTTTTTGTCGGTACAAAGGGCATGGGGGCAGCTGATGGGAGTGGCCAAGGCACGTACCCCTGTTCTAGGTCCATCTGGCCCAGATTGTACCCTCAAGATGGCCTATTACCTCCAGGGCCACCCCCAAGGTACTTTCCCATCCATCTTCCCACTTCCAATTCACTTCTAACCTATACTATCTGCTAAGCCAGCTCAGAACATGGGTCTTCTGTGAACTTCCCCTGAGTTTCTGTCCCTTAAGTGTCACCAATCCCCACTTCTCCCTACCCCTAGCTCTTTAGTTCCTGGATGTTTATTGCAGGATAAACAAAAGCGGTTTGGACTTCCCTCTGCCCACAGGGTTCTTGGCACTCCGGGTGGTAGAGGATGACACCCATAAGTTGGCCTGGCACATTCAGAGAAACAGCAATGATACATGGACATGGGTGACAGTGCCACTTGGAGAAAGGATGAGGCCTTTCCAGGTACCCAGAAATGGCCCTAGATGAGAAACATCGGGCAACAAGGACTAAGGGGACTGGAAATGTTTAGCTTGGAGGAAGGAAAACTTGAAGGATCACCAAAATAATCTTGTATAGCTCCCTCATTCTATAGACGAGGAAAGTGAGTCTGAGAGTTTGAGTGACTTGACCAGCAGCACAAAGGTGGTAAACAAGAGAACCAGGATTCATACGCAGGTCTTGTGGCTTCAAATGCACAGCTTTTTCTACAATATCATGCTGCTACCTAAGGGGGAAGCATTTTCAAGAATCTGTAAGGCTGTCATGTGGAAGAGGTTTTAGATTCGTGTTTGTCCCCAAAATGAAGAGCCAGGGAAGAAAGTACATAAAGGGCAACACAAGGGCAAATCTGCTAACAAAGAAAGCTGTCTAAAAGTGGAACTAGCTGCCTTGGTAGGGAGCAAATTGCTTAGTACTGAAAGGCTTCAACTGAAGATAAGATGACCTCTGAGGTTGTCATTAAGACAACCAGAGGGGGCAGCTAGGTGGTCTTGGAGTCAGGAGGAACTGAGTTCAAATCTGGCCTTAGACACATGACACTTACTAGCTGTGTGACCCTGGGAAAGTCACTTAACCCCAATTGCCTCACAAAAAAAAAAAAGGCAAAAAAAAAGACAACCAGAGGACAAAATAATCTCTAGAGAGCCCTTGTTCTAGGGGGTGAGATGATGTGACAAGATCAAAAGGACTCGTGTTGATTTGTGTTGCTTGACCATATGTATTTGTTACAATGGAATGCTTCTTTTCAGTGGGGCGGGGTGGTAGCTTAGCAGGCAGTGATAGATATGCAAAAGAAAAGAGAGTATCAATAAAACATTTTAAGGATGCACAGAAGAAAACAAAAGAGACAGAAAGAGAACACAAATAGAACAATTTAAATTCTGTATTTCTTAAAAATAAACCATGTGCAGCAGTTCAGAGTTTCTTTTACAATCTTCCTTCATGCTCTTCTTTGAATATTATATTAATAATAGCTAACATTTATAGAGTGCTTTAATATTTGCAAAGCATTTCACATATACTATCTCCTTTGATCCTCACACCAATCCTATAAAGTAGGTACTGTTATTGTTATTATAACTATTATGCTGTTATATTATGAAGTCTGCTAGGCAGTCCAGTGGATAGAGTGTTGAACCTACAGTCAGGATGACCTGAGTTCAAATTTAGACTCAGGAACTCCTAGGTATATGACACTAGGAAAGTCACAACCTCTGTCTGCCTCAGTTTCCACATCTGTAATAATAGTACTAGAGTTGTTGTATGGATCAAATTGTATAATATTTGTAAAGTGCTTTAGCACAGTTCCTGACACATAGTAGGCACTTAATAAATTTTTGTTCCTTTCCCCTTTTCATCATTCCCATTTTACGGGTGAAGGAGTTGAGACTTCAAAAAGGTAAAAATGTGTCCCAGGGCCACACAGCTAGTAAGTATCTGAAACAGAATTGGAATTTAGGTCCTCCTCACTCCAAGTTCAATGCTCTATCCACTATGCCCTCTATTTGCCTCTATAGATCTATTTGTTTATTGATTGTTAACAATAAAACAGTTTAAAAAACAACCACCTGATTGAGTCTCTTGGAGGAGGGAGGCTGCTGCAGCCACAACTTAGAGTCACTTCTGAGGACCTCCCTGAGGTAAGGGAGACTGCTTGAAGTTGGGGGCACAAGCCTCTGGTCCAGAGATGGTCCCTTCATTTCTTTTTTCCCCTTATTTCTACTCTGACTTCCAACATGGACACCAAATCTTCCTCAGCTGGAGCTCTTGGGAATGGTGGATTTGAACGTCCCAGGGACAAAAGGGGTCGGAGTAGATGAAATTACCTTTGTGAACTGTAACCCTACTGTGATCACTAAGAAGGACACAGGTATCCATACTTAATAACAACCTATGACTCCCCCCCCCACACCCCACCCACATTCTCCAACTATAACAGATCTTCCTTTGGAAACCTCTACCTGAGACCCCAACCCTAAAGGGCATCCCCTTGCTGCAGTCCCCTGGATGGGAGACAGTGATGCAAAAAGAGGAAGGGGTGCTCCCCTCTAGTTTTGTCTGCATGGGAAACTAAAATAAGTGGGGAATTCCCCCCCATCATAACTTTAGTTGGGGGAGATTTGGTGCCTCTCTTCAAGTCCCCTTCTCCTTCTCTCCCTTCTGGATAGAACTCTCATGTAACTTTGAACGGGACTCCTGTGGCTGGTATCCTGAGCACAGAACCGATGCCCTGTGGCAAAGGGCTTCAATGCAAGGCCCAGGCTACGACCATACCACCAGCCAAGGTAAGGTCAAGATGTTTGGATTTTCTTTGGCTGGACCTATGCTCTGGGCACCCTTGCCCTTTGTGCTGCCTACCTGCTGGAAGGGAACCCGTGGCCTAAGCAGGGACGGGTCAGGGAAGGTAAGGAGAGAAGAGAGACAGGAAGGCATGGAGTAAAGATAAAAATAGGAATTGGGGAGGGGTTTGCCATCCCAACCACTCCTGTCTCTCTGCAGGCCACTTCATGTATTTAGATCCTACAATGCCTCCTGCCCGAGGAAAAAGTGCCCGCCTCCTTACAGCCCTCCAGGTTCCCCCCTCTCACAATGAATGTCTCTCTTTCTGGTACCACCTCTACGGGCCCCAAATTGGTGAGCAGCCCTATGAAGAGGAGGGGATTCTCAGGCCAGGGGTGGGCTCATTTGAGCTGGGTCTGAACTGATTTAGAAGGTTTATATAGATCCTAGCTCAGCTGATGGGTCCTTACCACATCCCCAGGGACACTAAGACTGATGCTAAGACGAGTTGGAGAGGCCGATATGCACTTGTGGGCACGGACAGGCACTCATGGCAACCGATGGCACCAGGCCTGGGCCACCCTCTCCCACCCTCCAGACTCTGTCGCCAAGTACCACGTGAGACTCTTGCCCTTCTAACCTCATGGAAAGTTCTCTACCTCCAGCCCCACAGGAAATTCAATCCCAGCCAATCGGTCAACAAACATTTATTAAATAATAGTAAACAGTATGCTAGGCACCATGCTGGGTGTCAATACAAGTAAGTCCTTGCCTTCAAGAAACTCAAGTTCTAATGAGGGAGACTTGAGGAAGAAGGCACAGAGCTGAGCTTATCATTGTGAGCCTCAATGACTAGAGGAGCTTGGGCTCCAGATCTGGTGCCCTTCCTTGAGACAGGGGTCCCACCTGGATCCTGAAATTGTCCATTAGTAATGCCCTGGGCAGGAAAACCTCAACCACCTCTTTCTATGCTCTAGCTGGTGTTTGAGGCTCAGAGGAATGGGTACCATGGCAACATTGCAGTGGATGACATTACTGTGCGACCGGGTCCCTGCTGGGCTCCTCGACGCTGTTCCTTTGAAAACTCAGCCTGTGGATTTTCATCTAGTGGGCAAGGAGCTTGGCAACGACAGAGCAATGTTACAGGCAGTGCTATAAGGGGCCCACGTACAGACCACACTACAGAGACCCCTGAAGGTGACTAGGGATCAGAAGTAAAACCACAATGAGGGGGAGGGGGAAACTTGGGAGAGAATGTAAAGAACAGGATGGGCCCAAGGTGCCCTGGGTCAGAAAAGAAGACTGATATGGGGCAGGTACTGGGATGCCCAAGAGAATTGCTGATATGGAACAGGCACTCTCTACTAGGACACTACATGATGGTGGACACAAGCCCAAGTGCCCTGCCCCAGGGCCAGGCAGCCTTACTGACCTCTGAAGAACACTCACCCCTGGCCCAGCCTGGATGCTTGACTTTCTGGTATCATCTGAGCCTCCACAATCCAGGTGAGAAAGGAGTTGGCACCTTAGAGTATGGAAATCAGGGGACAACCTATATAGCTTAGGAATATCTCCCTCTCCAACCTCCCCACCTCACCCCAGGAAGAAAACACCCCCTCAGAGAAGTGAAACAAACCATTTACCAGGTTGATGCGGACTCAGAGTTCCCTGAAGGTCCAGAAAGGATTAAGCCAATTTCTAACTTGGTCCATATAATAGTGAACTCTCTTTGGGAGTCAGAGCTTGGAGAAAGGATTCCAAACCCATAGGACAGGGGTAGGTAGTTGGCCCTGCCATGCCCTATTCCTCAGCTTCCCACTGGGGCATTACCAGGCACACTCCGTGTCCACGTGGAAGAGGACAAAAAACGCCAGGTATTCAGCGTGAGTGCCCAAGGTGGTTTCACCTGGCGCTTAGGCAGTGTGGATGTCCAGCCTGAAAAAGCATGGAAGGTGAGTGAATGGGGCAGGGATGCAGGAATTCTCATACCAACTCTCTTGAGTCATGGAGCATCCAATGAGGGGAGGGGACCCTGGGCTCTTGCTTTTCCTGGACCCATTAATTTTGAATGTCAGGTAGACCTGACACCCTCACACCTGCTAGACCCTCTATCTCCCACTCCCCAGGTGGTATTTGAGGCCATTGGAGCTGGAGTGGAGCACACTTACATTGCTGTGGATGATCTGCACCTAAAGGATGGGCCTTGCCCTCAGCCAGGTAGAAGTCCAGGATACCTGTGGCCTCAGGAAAGTAGAGGGGGGAGGGGGTTAGAACAATCAAGGGAAGAGATCTAGCCCGTATTGGCCAGGGCCAAGATACTGCTACTAAAAACAAGGAACAATATGTTTACACCTCATTTGTATAGCATTAATTTGTCAGAATGCATACAATCTTTCTTATCCAATTTCTTTCCTGGTAAAGGGCACAAGACAGATTTTTTCCCCCAGGCTGCCAAGTCTGAGTGGCCTCTGAGGATGCTCTCTGTGGCTTGGTGCACTGGGGATGAGGATGGCGGCAAGGATGAGATAATAACAGAGATGTGGATAGTGATGACAGTGATTGAAACAGTAATGTTACCATTAGGGGTGGGGCTGTTTGCAGGGTCCTGTGACTTTGAATCAGACATGTGCAGCTGGAGTCACACACCTTGGCCAGGCCTAGGGGGCTATAGCTGGGACTGGAGCAGTGGTGCCACACCTTCCAGGTACCCCCAGCCCTCTGTGGACCACACCCTGGGCACCGAAACTGGTAAGTACTCCACTCACAAGTGGCAATTAAAGTGAAGATGATATATTGTATTTCTACTGGTGTGTCTAGGGTAGAGGTCAGAGCTGGTCATTCTTGGTGGCTAAAAGTCCTGACTGGGGTTTTCCTAATTCCACCTTGTATCTGGCTCCAGAGAAAGCAAGGATGGACTTGGAGGAAGTATGTGCCCCAGCCTGTCACCCCAACTTCATCTCCATCCCTACCCTGGACAAATCTCATTCTGCTGCCCTTTTCCCCTCCTTCCACCAATCCCCAACACTTTCCAAGTCCCTGGGGGAATAGATACAGAACCTAGGGCAGGAGGACTATGGGCCCTGGGAATGGGCTTAGGCTCACTTAGAGAGGGATGCTGGGCAGGGGAGTTGAGGGATTACCAAATATAATCATTCAATGTAACTGCTGGGGGCCAGAGGGTATAGTTTGGTGTAGACCTTTATAGATCCTGCCAATGGTGACCTAACCCCTTGGGTACCCCAGGTTGAGACATTCCAGTCATCTTTGGAATCAGGATCACCTCATCTGGGAGGAGTACCCTACACCCTGGGCTCTTCCTGGGTCTGTGCAAAGAGGGAGTGGGCTCAGAGCTTTCTTTCAGTTGCCCAGCTCTCTCTCTGGTTCCCAGGTCACTTTGCCTTCTTCGACACCAGTGTTCTGGGTCCTAGTGGTCGGGCGGCCTGGCTTCGAAGTGAACCTCTCCCCCCTACTCCCATGGGTGGTTCCTGTCTTCGATTCTGGTATCACATGGGCTTTCCGGAGCATTTCTGTGAGTGGAATATGCATGCAGGACTGACTGAGAAAGGAGGGGATTCAGATAGAGCAGAAAGAGAACGGAGGCGGGCAGCTAGGTGGCACAGTGGATAGAGCACTGGCCCTAAAGTCAAATCTGGCCTCAGACCAAACACTTGACACTAGTTGTGTGACCCTGGGCAAGTCACTTAACCCCAGTTGCTTGAAAAAAAAGAGAGAGAAGGAAAGAGCTGATTTCCTGTGGAGGGAAACAAAGAAGGCCTTAGCTGTGAGAAAGGACAGTAGGGTGGGACAGTGGTCAAGCGCCGTAGAGGCTACCTCAGCCTCTCCTCTGGTCAGGTAGGGATGCCTTGGCTGAAGGTAGGACAATGGGCCTAGACAGGTAGGTTTCCTAACTTCACCCACTGGTGTCTTGGCAGACAAGGGCGAACTGAAAGTCCTACTAATTAGCTCCCAGGGCCTACTGACTTTGTGGGGCACTGGGGGATATCTGCGCCACCAGTGGCTCGAAGGATACATCCAGGTGACAAGCACAGTGGAATTTCAGGTAAGGATAGGGGTTAAAGGAATGGGAAGGCTGTGTGGTAAGGCAGAGATGGAGTAGGGTTTAGATCCACATCTCCTCTGCCCACCATGATCCTTGACTCTTCTTTCTACCCGTGGTAGATTGTGTTTGAGGCCACCCTAGCGGGTCAGCCTGTTCTGGGCCCCATTGCAATAGATGACATCGTGTACCAGACAGGCCAGAGCTGTGAGCCATCTATGCCTGCTCCAGGTGAGATGCTGTAGGAATCATGGGAACATAGGTCTCTCTAAGCAGGCAAGTGGGCTAATGCCCCTAGTCCTTAGGATAGGTCACATATAGCCTTACATGGTATCTCCATCATTCATATCTGTAGTCTCTATAAAATGAAAGAGCCATACTCCACTTAGCTAACTCACCTTCTTTTCTCTTTTCCTGTCACAGCAGCCCAGCCTCTGACTTCTTCCTTCTCACCCTAAAACTAGAACTTGGGGGGAGATGAGATATTCAGAATGGTGACACATTACCGCCTGACAGGGATCGTCTCCATTCTGCAGGAGAAAATTGAGGCCTAGAATAGGGCAGGCACTTGCCAAGGATCCCATGGGTGGTTCCTTCGCTTGAATTTAGTGCATTTACTCTTGAAACGGAAGAAGTCAGCTTGGTGCCTGTTCTCAGCAGCTTCTAGGACTGGTTTCCCAATTGCTTAGAAAGCTGTCACCTGTGGGGGACCCTTGGTCTCCTCATCACTTGCCTTTACAAGTTAGGCTCCACCACCAGAGGAAGTCCATCCTTCCTCTTCTTTAAAGGTACAGACGCATATCTCTAAAACGGTATAAATATTTGCAGATCTAGAGAGCTTTAGACAGAGGTGTTGTAGCACTGAGCTGGCTGTCAGCTCTGACACAGGAAAGAAGAGACAGACCTTGCTCCAAGGGGGAGCTATATGAGAAACAGCTAAGGCTGTCACCTTCCACAAGGTCTTTAGGAAGGGGTTTTAAGACAACATGATTCTTGGTGCTGATCTCCAACAATAGGTGACTTGCTCACTACTGTTCAAAGTCCAAAGTGTCTGGGATCCTGAGGTCCCGGCAATCTGAGCTGGGCTGGGACTCTGTGGCAAGGAGGGTCCCAGCCAGGACAGATGTGGGCTCCAGTTGAAAACCTCAAATCCAGAAGTGCTCCTGGACTTCAGCCCCTCATGATCATGGGGGCTCCCTTCATACTCCTCTTCCTCACTCACAGAGGAATCCTCAAAATCTGTGACAATACCTGTGACGACAATCAGCCTCTTGGCTGCTCTGATCCTGGGGTTGCTTGCTTTTGGTGTATGGCACCGGCTGAAGAACGGAGACTACCCATTCAGGAAGCAGAAAGAGGAGAACAACGCTTCATCTGGCTTTGATAATGTTGTTTTCAACTCGGTAAGAGTGTCCCACATGGGAATTTGTGAAGGTGGGGGGAGCAGGGGACCAAGAACACTGGTTTCCCTCTGCCTCCTTTCAAAGGGAGGCCTGACCCCTCATCTTCATGTAAACTTTGGCTCAATCATTTTTCTTTGAGCTCTGGTTTCCCAAACTTGTAAAGTAGGAGGCACAGAAGGAATGGAAAGTATGCAAAACATTTGTCTGACCACAGAGTGACACTATAGAAAGAGCAGACTAGTCACTGAACCCGGATTCAAATCCTGCCTCAGGCTATTACCTGTGTTACCTCAGGCTAAGCCCATGTTCTCATCTGTACAATGATGGGGCTGGACCTGGTCCCTGAGATCTTTCAGCTCTAGATCTATGATCCTAAGAAATGGGAGATGTTTGGCTGAAAGGGGTTAGAATTAAGTGAATACAGCATGAATCGCCTATTTTTTCAAGTTGCTGTATGGACGTGTCTTTGCCAAGTTGGATCCATTATTTAGCTCCTAACAAAATGACTTTCACACCCGAAGAGAGACCTTGCAGGTTCGGTCCAAGAATGTATACTAGACCTACTTGGGTATTCTCTCACACAGAACTCTGTGCTAATCATGCTGTTGTTGAGTCATCTCCAACTCTTCATGCCCCTATTTGGGATTTTCTTGGCAAAGATACTGGAGTGGTTTGCTATTTCCTTCTCCAGCTCATTTTACAAATGAGGAAACTGAGGCAAACAGGGTTAAGTGACTTGCCCAGAGTCACACAGGTAGTGTCTGAGACCAGATATAAACTCATAAAGATGAGTCTTCCTGACTCCAAGCTCAGCACTCTATCCACTGAACCATACAGCTCATTAAAATAACTAAACCCTTTCCATTTCAGGATCATGTCACCCTGCCCCCAATAACAGGTGACCAGTAGACCACCCCAGATGAAATTCAGGACCTTTTGTCTGGCCTCCTGACTGAGATATTCCAAGGGGGAAAGGAGATCGCTTGCCATCTGCACTGTAATTTCAACTTCAGATACAGGAGGCCTGTATGGGGCACAGCCTCTCTCAACATAGAGGCAGGCCAGAGGTGCTGGGGCTGACAGAAAGGCAGCCCGAGCCACAGCTGCATGAGAAATGTTAAAATGGAAATTCGTTCCCATTGATGACTTTTCCATACAAGGAGCCTCCCTTTTGGTTTTGAACTGAGACTTGACTGAGTGGGAAGATGGGCCTTCTTGTTCTTTGAATAAATGCACTGTGTGGTGTTCACTTCCTCAATTCTGCAGAAATCCATCTTTAACCAGTGAGAGTATCACAGCAAGTTTGGTGAAAGACGCTTGGTGTTAATACTTCCTAAACAAACTAAAAACACCTCCTTTCCATCACATCGTAGATACTTAGGCAGGAGACCAATCAGTAGTTCTACCTAGGCTTGAGCATCATGAGACGCTGGATGTCCGTCCTGGCGGCACCATCTTACTGTCTGTTTGCAGCGTGTGAAATGTTCCTGAAGGATGAACTGCTTATTCTGTATGACAGAAAGCTGAAGTAGCAAACTTGCCAAGAGGCAGACAGAGATCCAATTAAGCAGGACTGGGGAAAGGCAATTCCGGTATGAGACCAAACTAAACCACACAAGACCGCAAGAGTCACTAAAGGGACATGGCAGGCTGGTAAGCACCAGGATATTTTTGTTCAGAGACAAAAAATAAATAAAAATAAACACAATGCAAACCTGTAAGAGGAATATAAAAGTCAATTCTTTTCCCCTATCCATCCTTGGTCAGACCCTTCTTTATTTCTCTTTTTAAGAGGGGTGCAGAGAAGCTGCAAAAATTACATGGAAGTAGAAGAGGAAGAGGAAGAAAAAAGCTCAGACTAAGATATAGACTCAATTTAGAAAGGCAAAAATTCAGCTTAGGGAAAATAAGGGAGGGGGCAGCTAGATGTCGAAGTAGACAGAGCACCAGCCCTGGATTCAGAAGACTTGAGTTCAACTCTGGCCTCAGACACTTGACACTTACTAGCTGCATGACCCTGGGCAAGTCACTTCACCCCATTGCCTCGAAAAAGAGAAAAAAAAGATTGAAGGGAAAATAAGGTTGAGGGGCAATACCCTGTCTTCAAAGGCCTTGAGGAGTCTTTCCAGCAGAAGCCTTCATCAGCTTCCTTCCTATTCACAGCAAATAGAGCTATAGTACATGAAGACCCTGAGAGGAACCATCTACACACACCAAGAGAAAGAAAAAATCCCCAGAACATCTTTTTGGGACTTCTATTCAGTAAGAGGGAGGAAAAAGCCAGTAAGAGGCCATAGATATGAGTAGGGGTTAAAACATCCTCTGGGACGCTCCCTGCCATGCAATGCCAGTCCAGCTAAACTTACCAATGTTTCAGGACGTCCCAGGCACTTTGGTCTTAGAACAACACTAAAGGACAATCCCAAAACAATGACCCTTTCTAATTGGGTTGTTAGAACAACAATTTGGTTTTGACGTCTGTTGCTGAACCACATTTCACATCCTTGGTATTTGTCCTTAATCCTAAACATATTCAACCTTGTTTGGGGAGGGGTACAATGACTGCAACAATATCATAAAATTGGCTTTAACACTTTATGCAACCTAACTCCTTATTACTTTGCACTAGATGTATAGAAAAACTAAAATCCATCCAGCTAGATTGAGGTTTCAAGTTTCTTTTCAAATATATAAGCATCTCTGCTTTCCAGGTCTGAGATTTATGGATAGAGCCAAAAGAAGTGACTATTACTTGTAGAGGCTTGAAGAAAAATTTTATTCCTACTCCATTTACAACATGCAATATACATATGAATAAATTCACCTTGAAGGGGGGGAATAGTTGTTCTCATACAGTAAGTTGTAATACCTCTTGCCAGATATTTATCTGAGCAGAAAAGTTTTCAAGATGAAAACAAGTTATGTCGTTGGCAAGTGTTGAAACATATCACCTTAAAACTTACCAGGGATGGGGAACCTAAGGCCTCAAGGCCACATGTGTCCTTGAAGCCTCAGGTTCCCCACCCCTGAGTCTTAAGTCACTCTGAACAAGTCATGGTATATGAATATAATGAAATACTATTGTGCTATAAGGAATGACGAGCAGATGGGTTTCAGAAAAACCTGGAAAGACTTACATGAACTGATGCTCAGCGAAGTGAGCAGAACCAGCAGAACATTGTACACAGTAATAGCAACATTATGTGATAATCAACTAAGATAGACATAGCTCTTCTTAGCAACATAATGATCCAAGACAATTCCAAAAGACTCATGATGGAAAATGCTATCCACATCCAAAGAAAGAACCATGGAGTCTGAATGCAAATCGAAACATACTATTTTCACTTTTTTTGGTTGTTTGGTTTTCTTTTTGGTGACTTTTCCCTTTTGTTCTGTTTCTTCTTTCACAACATGACTATTGTGGAAATATATTTACATGATTGCACATGTATAACCTTGCTTGCAGTCTTGGGGAAGGGGTTGGGAGGGAGAAAAAATATGGAATTCAAAATCTTAGAAAAAACGAACATTGAAAACTATCTTTACATGTAATTGGAAAAAATACCAAAAAAATTTTAAATAAAAAAATAAAACTTAGGCCATTACATTTTCTATAGAGCCAAGGGCCAAACAAGAAGCACTCCAACTACACTAATTACACAGAAGGTCAAGTTGAGACAGTTCTGCTGCAAAAAAGAGCTGCTGCCTCTCAGTCTAAGCACAGGCCAGACCTTACTGAAAACACACTTAAGGAACGGGGGTGTTTTGTTAGGAGAAGGTCTGAATCTATTTTCACACTCTAGTAGCAGATTCTGAGAAGGGCCCGGCTTCTGCAAACTAAAAAGTAACTCTTTGCCACAAACAAGAAGGGTAACAAACTTTTATTAGTTTCTCTTGAAAATGCAGGCTAGGGAGAACAGAGGTCACTTAAGTTGGTGACACATTTGCACTCTTTGCAAAACAGGGATGGAGATCCCTGGTTGCCAAACAGATATAACCTCCTCCACACTAACCCTCCCCTTAAAACACATTAATTTAAATTGATCCCATTTCAACATATGCCCCAATGCCTCAAAAAGTTGTAACTGCTTCTAGAGAGAGAAACATTTTCTGACAAAATTAAGAGGATTGTTAGTTCTGGCTCCTCAATCTTCAGAAAAGGAAAGGGGAAAAAAAAGGCAGGAGAATCATTTAATTTGCAAGGTTTTGTTTTTTGTTTTTGTTACAGCAGGTATAGATTTGGAAGGTTCCTCCCCCAAACAAGTCTGATACCCCTGTGTTCAGCTTGGCAATGTGAAGAGACACATTGGTTCTGGTGGTGAAAGAGAACCCACCAGATGGGATCAGTCTGAACGAACTGATTTCGAGGCTTTGTGTTCATTTCCCCTTTGGTCCTGTCTCTAGCGGCTTTCCAATGTCCTTCCCACGAAGCTTGAGACCTAGAATGAGAAAAGTCAGTCTACTGACCTCCCCCTACCCTCTGCTTAGGCAGCTCTCAGATAAAACAAATGGTAAAGTAGCTTGGCAAGTCATTTTCAGAAGTCAGACTTCCAAAACAACCATTGGCCGTAGCCCATTTATCAAAGTCACAGCCCTTCCTACAAGTATTCTCACTTCACTCTCCTGGTTCCCTGCCTTGCTAGACTAATACATCCTAGCATGATGTACATGCTCACTTCCCCTTCAAAATACAAGAAAACAACAGGAGATTGTACTTTTCATCTCACCTGCTGCCTGGTCATTTGGTCAGTCTAAAGTAGTCTAGGCACTCCTTACTGGGAACTCGGCTGATTATTCCATGGCCAGTTTAAAAGGTCCATGGTCACTTATAATCTTAAGGAGAATTTGAACACTAACAACCTAATTCATCAGAGTTGAGGGAACGTCTCTTGAAGAAGAACTGAAAGAAAATATTCTGGCTTCTTTTTCACCACCACTCAAAAAGATGGTGGCAGGAAAGTGGGATGAAGACGCTTCTATCGTGGGTAGCTATGAAATGAAAATAGCAACATATGGGGCCACCAACATCAGAGCTCAGTGGGGAAGAAAGCAATCCTGGTTTAACTATCAGGGAACCTTTGATCCAGAGGCCTCTGCAAATAGCTTATGGACCACAGTATGGAGAACAATGGGTCTTAGAATGAGTTATCTTTTCCCTTAGCTCTTAATGAAAGGACTTTGATTTGGGGGATAATATTGGGAAAAAAGTTTTAAGAGAGAAATCTCAAAGGGAAGAAAACTGAAAGGTACTACTCTCTCATATGACTTATCTTGAGGCAAGTTTTCTCTCATTCCCAAAAGTCTCTCAAACTTTACCCCAAGCCGGCGTAAAGGCCAATTATGTTCATTTCCAAATAATTTCTAAATGAAGTTCTTAGTAACACTGAGATATTATCACCACTTCTAATCACAGAGAAAAAAACTCAGCTATCTTTCCCCTTCCACCCCCCATTAACTTTACTTTTCCCTGTGGCTAGGTTGTTAAGGATGTCTCTAATAAAATACAAAACTCTCTAAGCTTAAGTGTCATACTATAGCAGTCCAAGCTAAATAAAGATACTCACCAATGGCTCTTTCGATCTTGCCCAAGACCTGGTTATTAGGAATGGCCCGTCCACACTCATAGTCAGCAATAACTTGGGGCTTTTCGTTGATTTTCTAAAGAGAAGATGTGCTTTAAACACATCAGTTCAGTACAGGAAATTCTCAGAAAGAAACAAGCCAACACATACTACAAATTCCTTCATGTTCTTCAAAGGACATATGAGTTGACAGATGGTTCACTACATTCAGGGAGCTACTGTAAATTTTGGATCACACATCTAACAGCTGAAAGGGACCTCAAAGGCTATCTAGTTTAAATTCCTCATTTTAAAAATAAGGAAATGGAGACCCAGGGAGGTTAAGCCACCTGCCCAATATCAAGTAGGTAAACCTCCAAGGTGGGATTTTAACCTAGGTTTTCTGGCTCCAGTCAGAGCTAGAGTTCTTTCCACTGTACTACAATGTCTCTGGTGCCACAGAAGTCTATAAGATCAAAGGGCCCAAGACACTGGAAATAGAAGAACTCTAATTGAAGCAGTACATGCAATAACACCAACATCATGGGATTCTTGGCACTGAGATATGCAACAAACAATGAGTGTCTACTATGGGTAAGGCACCATGATATGTAAGGCAGATACAAAGAACGTAACAAAACTAATTCTACCTTCAGCGTGCTGAAACTCTATCATAGGGATACAATATAATCACAGACCAATAAAAGATGATTTGAAAGAGAGCACACTAACAAGAAAGAGGTAAAAGAATCAGGGAATACTTCAAGAAGGTAGCACATGAACTCAATCTTACAGGAAGATGAGGATTGTGGAAGGCAGAGAAAAGGAGGTAGTGTGTACTAGGCACACGGGACAGCTGAGGCAAACACACAAGGGAAGGAGACAGCATGCTGAATTTGGGAGAATAACTATTGGTTTGATTTGGTTAAAACAGAACTCATGAAGGAAAGTAAAATGAACTAAGCTGGAAAGCTATGTTCTAATCAGGTTGTGGAAGGCCTTAAAAGCAAGTGTGAAAGAGTTTGTGTTTGATCACAGAGACAACATGGTTAGAAGGTTTGAGTTGGGGAGTGACATGCTAAGACCTATAACCTGGGAAGATTATTTTGGCCACTGTGTAGTGGATGGAGTGAAAAGAGAACCTAGAAGTATGGAGA